ATATATATAAAATAATACATAAAATATATAAGTTTGGGGTATGCTGAGACCATAAACACAGCATATTAGAAGAGTAGTACATACATGTATTTTATAAGTAAATAAACATATATTGGATGCAGACGCTGACCACAAAAAGAACACCCCTAGTTGTCATCTACCGCTAATAGCTCAAACCGTTCAAATGCATTATTAATAAGCTACAGGCCATACTGGACAATTACCCCGCACTTTTTCAGGGCCTGGGTGACAGGCCCACGCTTGCTTACAGAAAACCACCCAACCTGAAGCAGATTCTCACAAGCAGCAAGAACCAACAGGACATGGGGACCAGACCCTGCAACAAACCGAGATGCCTACTCTGCCCACACATCTACACCAACAGCTTCATCACAAGCCCCAACAAGCCCATACAAGATCAGAGGGGCCTTCACATGCTCCTTCACTCATGTGATACATGCCACCCTCTTCCAGCAAGGTCCCTCTGGATTCTACGTAGGACAACCGGGACAAATTTTCTGCAAACAAATAATGGACACGTGTTGGACCCCAGGACTCAGAACAAGGACAAAGTAGTACCAGAGCAGCTAAACCTCCCAGCAAACTCCATGGCAAACCTCAAAGCGATGGTCTTGGAAAAGTGGGAATTTAACAGCACCCTCGAGCGAGAAATCGCCGAACCACATTCTGAACATTGAAAGGTTTCAGGAAATCTTGGAAGATCTCCACCAACCCAATGAGTTTTTAACACATTACTGATAAGATACTTGCAATCTATCTCACATGGGGATCTGCATACAACCTGTCTTCCCCTCCTTTCCCACCCATCCACCCATCACTTCCCCCAATTTAAATCCTCCATCGGTCCAGCCACCCTGGGCTTCTGATGAAGTGAGCCTCAGCTCATGAACGCTTCTGCCTTTTAATACAATGTATTGGTTGAAAAAGGTGCTACCAGCTTTCTTCAGGTTTTGGGGGTTTTTTTTGCTATCATGGACTAACACGGATCTCCTCCTACAAAGTTTCCTGGTCAGGAACATATCCATGTTCAAAAACGTTTCGAGATCCCTGGTCTAGAAGTTGGGGAAAGAGATTAAGAAGTCTGCGGATCTG